GCCTGGCAATCTGCTTCCAAAAATCAGCCAATGAATACCCTATGAATCACAACAGTCAAATTTTCACATCCAGTGAATGCTAAGGAAAAAATAATTCATTTTTCCTCGCAGTAGGTACCTGACAAGGTTCATAAAACACTATCAATCATGATGTTAAAGGATCTTGACTCAAAGCTACATAGCCCTGGTGGCTTAGTGGTTAAGAGCTCAGCTGCTAACCAAAAGGTCACCAGTTTGAATCCACCAGCCGCTCCCTTGGAAACCCTACAGGGGGCAGTTCTACTCTGTCCCATTAGGGTTGCTATGGGTTGGAATAGACTCAATGGCAATGGATTTGGTTTTTGGCTTTGGTCATAAATAAACAATTGTCTTTCTAGATGATGTTTTTGTTGTTACTTGCCTTAGAGTTGACTCCATCTCGTGGCAACCTTATGTATAACAAAGCGAAACGTTGACCAGTCCTGTGCCATCTGCATGATCACTGGTGTGTTTGGGTCCATTGTTGCAGCTGTTGAGTCAATCCGTCTCACAGAGGGTTTCCTTTGTTTTCATTGACCCTCAACTTTACCAGACATGATGTCCTTTTTTAGCAATTGGTCTTTCCTGATGATGTGTCCAAAGTAAGTGAGCTGAAGTCTCACCATTCTTGCTTCTAAGAAACATTCTGGTTTATATTTCTTCTAAGACTGATTTGTTCCTTCTTCTGGCAGTCCACGGTATATTCAATATTATCCACCAACACCACAGCTCCAATGAATCAGTTCTCCTTCCATCGTCCTTTTTCATTGTCCAGCTTTCCCGTGCATATGAGGCAATTGAAAAGACATGGGTTGGGTCAAGTGCTCCTTAGTCCCCAAAGTGACCTTTTGATTTTTTATTTTAGGTGACAGGGGAACACAAAAAGGCTCTTCGCGTCTACTGGGATAAGACAGGCTGGTCTAATGCAGGCTGCCAAGACATCTTTTCGAATGGAATGCGGACTGTATGCAGCTGCAGCCATCTCTCCACCTCTGCTGTCCTCATGGGCTCTGTTGTTCTGACGGTTTGTTTGTAAGTGCATTTAACATTGAACTCAGACTCCACTGCAGAATGGAGTTCACTGGGAGGTTTAAAAAAGAAACATATATATATATATTTTTTTAATTCCTCTCCCCAGTGGAGTAATGGAAATAGATTGGGTTTTTTTGTTTTTGTTTTTGTTTTTTAATTTTATTGTACTTTAAGTGAAAGTTTAGAATTCAAGTTAGTCTCTCATACAAAAATTTATACATACATTGTTATGTGACCCTA